TCCTCTGTCGCCGAATCCTCCAGGAACTAGTACGGCATCTGCTCCCTATAAAGCTAGAATCTGTCAGAAGGGCCAAAAGGATAAAGAATAAAATCTAGTGGAAAATTAGTAGCTACCACAAATCATACAACTAAAAAGTAAGTTAGCAAAGACCTTCAACAAATTCCAAGCGCTCTTATAAGTATTGGGATTCTGCAAGTAGATGGTGTTTGCCAAGCTGTGAGACATTGTACACAAGGATTTGATAAATAATTTATGGTATGAAAATTACCTCTTTTTTCGTTGCATCTTCAAGGTCACTGGCTGGAACCCAATCCACACACAATTTCCTATAGCAAGCAACAGAAGCATGCAAAAGCGCCTGCAAACATTTTTTTTTATGTTCATATTAACAAATCCTAATAGAAAAATCATCTTTGGTAGATCATTGCAAACATTACAGTGATAAAAATCCTCGTGGAAGGATGCAAGTTCTAGGGTTGTCACCTGAATGTGTTAGCAAATGCCGAATTGTCAAAAAAAGGGACACTGTTGAACTCAATCACATTCAAAGTTATAAATACATCAAAAAACATGTCAACAATAGAAGGAAAAAGTGAGACATGCCAACATAAATCTATGGAAGTCACTCAAACTTATGAACCTTATATGTCACTGGTTAGATAAACAAAATGACTAATTTGACGGTTAATGACATCATATTGTCTTTACGCAACCTAAATTCCAATATATCAGGATGATTTTAGGATATGTACATTCTCAATGTTCTCAACATTTTCAGTCCATCAACTAAAATATAAAGTTAGCTCCAGTTTTATAATGCATTAAAACTTTTGATTAAAAATTAATTGATAGAATAAAGACTACCTTTAACACAGAGAGATAGGAGTCTGTAAGGCCAGTGTATTTTCCAACCATAGCAACTCTAACCTGTGAGAAAACTGTATAACAATCAGAAGTGCTCAGGCAAAGCAAGAGTACTTATTTACACATTTGAGAAATGACAAGGAACTACAGGATCATGCAACACATCACAAAGATCTGCCCTAGATATCCATTCCCCCAAAGCTGGTTTTAAAGCATACCTACAGATTATACAATATAATATCAGTGCACATCTATGGCAAGAAATAATAGTGACATTAGTAACAACACAGGCAGGAGACTGAAAAGTATCCAATAAAATCCAGAAAAACTGGAAGAAAACAAAATGTGTAACAAACCCTTTGAGGTTCAGGGACTTCAAAATCACCTCATGCGCCTTCTGATCCTAAATGACAGAAAAACATATTGATGTACTACTCAAAATCAAAATTTCCAATGTTATTAAGTGAGAGTACCATAACTACTTACTTGCAAGAGTAAAGGCACACGCCAGATGTTGGTAACATCATATAGTGTGATGATGTTCTCTATCTGAAAGGAAGGAAAATGACTCAGCACCTCATTATTTAGTAGAGAGGTGATCCATTTGTATACTCGTTATTTTTCAAACTTATTTAAGTATTCATCTAATAACAATACCGGAACATGGCAAAAACGAGAAAGTTTTTCCTTGACATTTCCATCAAGTTCCTGCAGAATGCACAAAACATTAGCAGAAGGGGTACATGATTCCAGAAAACAATTGCATGGGCAGAATTTGAGAGTTTGGGAAGCTGTAAACAAGTTGAACTGCGCTTGATTAAAGCTGTTTTTGTCTCAGATCATCTCATTTACTTAGTCATAAGAGCCAAGCTTGAGCTTTGTTTTAAGCTTGCAGGGTTGAGATTGGCTTGGTTGAATAATTAATTGAGTCAAGCTCAATTTGACTACAAGCAAGAATACTACCAAGCTCGATGGGCTCATTTATTAATTAAAAGCATCAAAAGGTTAAATAGGCTCAGTTCAGTTGGAGCTTCAGAAAGAGTGAGAGAGAACCGTAGTGCTGCGGCAGGCTAAGATATTTGGAGTCAGACCCAGGCTTCTTAGTCCCCTTACACTCTGCTGTGTTGGTTTTGTTTTCTGGCCATGTAAAAACAATTGTGGTTCTAATTAATAAATTTAAAAGGGTCGTGTAGAATAAACCAAAAATATAAAATAAACTCTATAATCATCTATCAATGAAGAATTACCTGTTCTCCGACGACATGTAGAACAGGCACCAGACTGACATGTACCGAGCAAAAGTTTCCAGCACCTGAGAAGGTCAAGCATAGGCACAAGTCAGTCAAAAACATGTTCGTACATTTATGTAAGGATGCTCTGTTCTCTTCTTCTCTATATTCTTTTGTTCTAAATACCGTGGTGATCAGTAGCATTCATGCTTTCTTTCGTTTAACATGAATTAAAGTTTTATTGATTTCTGATTTCCCTGTACGTAGAAATTCACAGATATAACCTTACCTGCGCGATGTGAAAGTTGTCCCAACGCCTCAATGAAAGGCATTGATTCAATGTCCCCTGCATGAAGAAATAAATATCTTCTGAGCGACCAAAATCGTTTTTCTTTAGAAAGAGAAAATTTTCTTGTACACGAGATATCTTCTGTACCTATAGTGCCACCCAATTCAATGACACAAACGTCAGCTGGACCCTCTTCCCCATCTACTGGTGTAATGGCCACACGTTCAATCCATTCTTGAATAGCATTTGTCACATGAGGTACTACCTAAACAAGAGAACTACTGTGTGAAATTATGCACTACCAAGGATGGTACCTCGTACAAGTGGACTAAAGTAACACACACACCTGAACAGTTTGACCCAAATAATCTCCCTTTCTCTCCTTCTCAATCACAGACTAAATCAAGAGAAGAAGCAGTTTATCAAGTCAAATTCTATCCAAGTTGATAAAGACGTCAAAAAAGCATCCATCAATTTGATTATATGAAGAAAATAAGAAACTGATGAGCCATAAACCTTGCCTGGTAAATTTTTCCAGTAGTTATATTATTGTCTCTTGTCAAAGTTATGTCCAAAAACCGTTCGTAGTTTCCAAGATCCAGGTCCACCTTCAAAAGAAAATCAAGTTATCCATTTTTTATCCTGACACTTGATAAATCCAACGATCAACCACCAATGAAGGTAGGTATCAGGAAGCATCTTAAGATGCAATATTGCATGCTATATGGAACATGGAATAGCATTGATCTTTACGAACCGGTAAATCAATTATATCTGCCCTTTCTTCTTTAAAACCAGAAGACTAAAATTATGAGTTCTTTATATGGGCGTGCCAAACATGCCCCAATTCCCCACTACATCATATTAAATGCAGAAACCCAAGTAATCTTTCTCAAATGCAACCAAACAATTTCATTATTCTTTCGTTTGGATATATATTTAGCGCTATTAAAAACTATGACTGGTTCGTGTAAAGGATGTTTCCCAACCTCTCCACCATCGTCTAGAACAAATACTTCTCCATGCTCAAAAGGAGACATGGTTCCCGCATCAGTATTTAAGTAAGGATCTGAAAATCAAAACAATGAAGGAGGAAAAAATATAATTAGAATCACTGCTAGACATTCCCTATGGAGAAAAGAAAAACGTTACAACAATCATTATTTGAAAATTACAGAAAGGAGAAAGTTGAAAAAATATAATTAGAATCACTGCTAGACATTCCCTACGGAGAAAAGAAAAACGTTACAACAATCAACATTTGAAAATTACAGAAAGGAGAGAGTTTCCAACAGTTATGGGGAAAAATGAAAAAAAAAAAAGAAAAAGAAAGAAAATACTCAGACAACATATATTGTTTCGAGATAAAAATAAACAGCTGCTACTTCTATCACCTTGAAAAGAGAAAAGGATTATCCAATTCCTTTGTAGTTTTGGCCGGGGAAAATGGTAAAAAAATTTAGAAAATCACATAGCTTTGACCACCGTGAGCAAAGAACGATGCATGTGATGTGACAGTAAAAACAAAACTAGCACCTTCCTGTTTGTTGTTTCTCCATAATGTTTCTTCAATATGGAAAGCATTATATGGAAGGATTGAAGAAGGAACAAGTAAGAGGAGAAAAGGGAAAGAAAATTGAACCAATCTTGATGGAAGTAACACGTAGTCCACTGGCCTTGAGGATGAGACCGATACTGCTAGCAGTAACTCCTTTCCCCAGCCCGCTCACTACTCCTCCCGTCACCAACACGTACTTCATCTTGTCTCCTCTTCCTCCGCAAATTCTTTAAACAGGAAGCACTATGATAGTCGATTCTTTCGTCACAAGTCAATGTAAGGAAAAATGCAAAATTGATTACAGAGAAAAGAGAACAAGTCCCACCAAATTCAGGGTCTGGAACGCACAATGTTGTTGAGAGGTGTAAACTTATCTGCTGTGGGGAGGGGGGGGGGTATGTCCCCGTATCCTGCTAAGACACGACAAAGAAAGACGTATAGAGAGGCGAAGATTGAAGAATGCAGAAAGA